ATTGCCTTTGCAGTTTCTTAGCCAATCAAAATACTGCAGGCCAGGCAAAAATTAGCTTTAAAGCATTTTGCGGCTGCTGAATGTTTAATTCAAACTATACATGTTTAATGTCTGTGCTTGTGAATATTTCATACCCAGATCTGCAGTTTGATCCTCTTGTCATTCTTGTACACGGTCTTAACTTTGAAGTCAATGCCCACCGTGCTGACAAAGGCCGACGTGAAGGCGTCATCGGCATAGCGGAAAAGGAAGGATGTTTTTCCCACGCTGCTGTTGCCAATGATGAGTAGTTTGAACATATAGTCGAAATTTTGGTCTCCTCCCTCTCCTTTCCCCTTGACATCCTGAGTGGCAGCCATCTGCCAAAGCAAAAATAAATAGGAAGGAAAAGTTAATATAAGGTAGAACAATTTTTATGGGCAAAGCTGATACTTCTGAAATAAGTTTATTCTTATTTCATAAGTTCATAAAGTGAACAATAACCATTTGGTGTAGAACTGCTGTAAATGAAAGAGGAAAGCTATAAAGGCTAGATATTGGGTGCTGAGTACATTAAGCCCGTTTTACAGGATACAGATCAGAGATGACAGAAGGCTGCGTCAGGCAAACCAGCATGACCAACACAGCAAGCTGTTGGTTTAATGAGTATTAGATAACAAGCTATTTCCACCATAGGATCATTTCTAAAATTAAGCTAAACTGTCGTTTTTAATGTTATTAATGAGAAGGCAAAATAAATCTCAATGAAATGCACAACATGAACTTAATGCAATTAATTAATTTTGAACTTAATCAAAACAAATGTTTGTTTACACTGTGTTAAACAATAGATACATTTTAGCATAAGGTACTTTATTTGGGCCAAAAAGCTGCCTTCCAGCAAAAGTTAAATATTTATCTGTCTATTTTGTAGATAAATGCATACATTTGTAAAATACAAGGTCATTAAAATATTTGTGGGTAAAATGTTTCTCCTTTGGAACAGCAGTTTGTGTTTAATACAGAGACAGGGCTAATGTTTAAGTCAAACTAAGTCTTAACTATGGGGCAGCTAGATGAAGAACAGTCAGTTTTAGCTTCAAGTTGTCTAGGTTGATAAAATCATCTTTATAGAATCGATTTAAACACTTTTTATTCAGCTTAATCTAATGTAGTGATCCTTCTCATTTAAAGTACATCCTGCCAGCTATTTCTTTTTTTTTTTTCATTTTCTTTCCTTTTGTCACGGAAGACAAATAAGAAGAGCAAAATTATGTTAGCAATGAGTAAGGATTTACCTACTTAGGAGAGTAATCACATTTTAGAAACTGGCAAGCATATGACTAACAGAGCCTTGTTGGTGTTAACCTAACATCATTTTTTAGTGAGCAGTCTATGGCAGCATAAACAAAATAACATAAAAGTTGTATGCCTGAGAAAATAACGACAAACTTTGCAAAGGTTTCTTTAGACATATATCTTCTAATATAGATTTAATTCCATGGATATTATATTGATAACAGCTTTACAACATGATAAAACACAAACAAAATTGGGTTTTTCAGTTTGATCACTTTACAGACTAATTTGTTGAAGGTAAAACTGTTCACTAAAATAGATCAGTAAACATGCCTATAGGTTTATCTATAAGAGAGTAAACAGAAATCAGTTTGCTTGTGTACTTCATAGGATCAGTAATCATATCTGCTCTCATATCTGAGTCGCTCATAAATGTACAAAGAGTACTGGAAGATCAAACGCTTATAAAAGCTTCTCTGTTTCATGCTGTCAGCAGTCAGCATGAAAAAGAGAAGTCAGGGGAAACCAGTAACACTGAGTAGATGGCAGGAAAACGGTCGTCGCTCTCTCCAAGGTGATTGCTTGTTTCTGTCCCTGAACATGTGCAATCATCTCTCCCTGCAGCCTTGCACTGAAGAAAAGATGCAGGACCTCCATCATGCAACGTCCTGCTTTAGTTCGCTTCCGTGTGTGTGTCTGTATTTGCAAGGACACCGTTTTCACGCCGTAATGAGCCGGTTCTGCAAAAAAAAAAAAAAAATGCAACCAAACGCCACTGAGCTAAAACGCTACATGTCAGTTAACTGTATATGGAAGACCGGTTCTGAGCAGCTGATAACGTTTATATCTTTACACAAAAAATCTCCCACATGTGTGAAACTAAAAGGACATTATACGAACAAACCTGTTTCGAAGGCCTCGTTTCGACCTGTATTTGCCCCTGATAAGCAGGAGAGACGTTAATTACTCTGAACCTATACCGCAGACGCTGATTTTATGTTGCTTTTTTCTTCCCCTCTCTATCTCCGAACCAGTTTCAGCACCTTGGAGCTGTCCCCTCCGCTTCCGATCTGCGGGCTTCGGCTGCTGCTGATGGTGGTGATGATGAAGATGATGATGATGATGAATCTGGCTCGCCTAGGCAAAAGGAAGCGCGCGTCATGGGTATCATCTACGTCACGGGGACAAAGAAGAAGCAGGGCTTTGTAGTTTTATTTCCACAGTTTGAAATGCGCTGTGTGGAGCGCCTCCAGCTTCTCTGGATTTATTATTTAATCTAGAACACATCCTTTCATCTTATCGAAAGCACACTCCGTTTGATGGTGCTTTTCCACATTTACATTTTGTAATTTCTCAAATCTATCTGTCTTACCTTCCCATAGAGCTCCATTGGATCCTCAGCAATATCCCGCCTATTGGTCTTTTAATTCTCTACAAAATAGATAATCTCCTAGCTGGCCAGGATTTTTTTCTTTTTCTTCCAGGAAGCAAATATAATAGGCTCTCCTTCTTTGCGTCACTCACTGTGTTTTCCAGACCTGCCCACGCCCCTGAAGCCCATGCAGCCCGGCTTCAGAGGGGCCGAGTAGGCCTAAACAAGAGGGGCCAGAGTGCTGATGAATATTAATATTATGGACTCCACAATAGATAAACAAAAGCAGATGCTTTGCATTAAAATTGTACTCGCACATGGCAATAAATGGTGGTCATGCTTAGCTGTCATTTAATAGATAAAAAACCTGAAGTGTCCTAGACAGAAGGACTTCAAATTACTGCATAAACTTTGATACTTTCAAGAATTACAATACAACAGACATTATGTAACTGCAGAATGAAGTTTGAATATATATAGTTTATCATTTATTACACTATGATTCACTTGGTCCTATCAGACTTCTGATAGGGCCTGTTATAGCTGTCAGAGGGCGGGATCCTTGGCGCTGAGTGGACTTTGGATGATCCGTGTGCGTAAAATGCAGACTGCGCAGCAACTCAGTAAGGGGCGGGGCAGGTAGGCAGCTCACATGCGTGTTTCTCCACACTTTCATGTATTTTGTGCTAGATTTTTGCAAATATCTGCTTGCATATGACACCACTTCGGTGTAGAATCCTTCTTCTGTTTCTTTTTATACGATATTTTTAGTATTTTATTCAGCACTGACTACGATTTGAGACCCTGAACCTAATTGTTTACAAAATTCCTATGGAGGAAGGTGAAAGAATCATTTTAGCTATTTTCTCTGTTAAGCCTTAACACATTTTCAAGGACAGGAGTTGATGTTTAGTGTTGTTTCTAACCCAAAGCGTTTTAAACCAAACCTTTCTAGAAGGTTTCCAGGGGCACAATAGGTCGCCATAGCTCCATCTGCTGTTTGCTGCTCTGTATGTTGTCATAGGATAGAAATTCTCCCCACACTGCTGACATTTAACTGTAGTAAAGATGGTCAATAAATATGTACAATTATAAAGTACAGTACATACAAAATGAATAGGGTTGCTTAAACGTGTTCATACAGTGACACTACAACAATACATTTTAATGTAGCAGTTAACAAAGTGGTGACTATTGTTTTTTTTTATTAAATTAGGAATAGAAAAAAATTTGTAATCTTTTTATGAAAAAAGCGAACATTTGGATACATTAAATTCAACCAACATGAGTAGTGATTCAAGGAGTAGGTACTCTTTGTGTTTAATTTAAACTCAATTTACTCTAAATGCTTCAGAGGTTCATTAGAAAAACATTACAGATCTACTATCATAAAGAAGATTAAGGGACAAATTATCATTGATCAGGAGAAACTTTTGTAGAGGTTTACAGCATTGTATGGTTATAAAGCACTAAACCAAGCTTTGAACATCTCAACATTCATGTTTAATTAATAGTCCAAACATGTAGAGTGTGGTAAAACTGCCAAATTTCCAAAGACATACTTGTCCCCTTTGAAAAGACAGTTATCTTTGAAATTCTTCAGAAAGTTTCAATATGATCTAGGTCACTCTTCAATTAAAGCAAATTGGAGAATTGGTCTGCCCATTTTCTAGCTATTCTGTGCCAGATTTGTACTTCAGATCTTTGTTCTTAGAATAATTATGCCTACTATTGCAAACGCAGAAACAAAAGGTAAAGACTTTTAATCTGTAATATTCTTTTTATTCTGTCTTTTTAAACTCCCTGTGAAATTCAAAATGTGTATTCATAAAAGCCTGGTAACGTATACAATATATTATTCACCCCCAAAACACTAATATATCTGTGTATATTATCACAAATAAAAAAATTGAAGATTAAGTAATAAAAAATTGAAATAAAATATTTTGAGTACCGGTAGAATTTTGCAACTGCTAAAATGGACGTTGATGTCATTGATAGGATGGAGGAAAGAAGCATGCTTTGCTAGGACAAAACAAGACTTGGAGGGTTTCTAAATGTTATTTATTTTCTATTTCTGGATGTCCAAAATATTGAACCTTTGAATGGGGTTTGAGTGGGAAATGACCATGCTTTACCCTTTTATTCAAATCAGACTCCAATTTGTCCAACATTTAACCATTTTTAGCATACTGGGCAATCTCTACCCCCCTTGTCTGTGTGTGCCAGGTTGGGGAGATTGTATTTTTTTTTTTTTTTTTTTTTAGGAACGGACTAGATTGATGAATCATGATGCAGGGAAGCAAACCCTACTAACATCTGCCAGAGAAACCAAGAACGTTGTCCTAATTTATTTAATCAAAACAAATAGATGAGAAGATATATAAACTCTGTATGTTATACAAGCAGCTATTAGTTACTAACATGGATGTGGGAATGGTGTCAAAAAAAAACGAACAGCCTTGAGTTGTTTTTGTTTTTTTGTCACAGCTTGATTTTGGAGCTGTTCGAGAACTGACCTATCCCTGCAAAGTCCTGCAAGTGGTGTGAACCACAGCTTCTCATAACCTTCATCCATTACATCGCCAGAATTGGTAAAAGCACTGAGAACTTTAAAGATGTTTGCTTTGGTTAGAATAAATGAATAGAATAAATGAATAGAATAGAATAGAATAGAATAGAATAGAATAGAATAGAATAGAATAGCCCCATGCTTTGCGTCAGTGATGGAAATTTAGGTGCATTAGACAAAGCAAGAAGGTAGACACAGGAAAAAATCATATGAAAAGGAAAGAAACTCCCTTACAGTATGTGACAATGTACAGCAAAATAAATATAGAATAAATAACAAAAAATCCCAAAACAGTTTAATGGAATTTTCTCCTACATATTTCTAGGGTAAAAATTAGAAAAGACAGTACAGTTTGACAATTCAGTCAAAGGACAGAGCAAGAAGAAGCTCATTATGCATGTTTGGTTTTTAAAACTCTATTTATTAAGTGTTTAAAAAAGACCTTTTTGCTTTTAATACAGGTGTTCTCGCAGTTATTGAAATGGAAGATTCAATTGAACTGATCCTTCAGGACTTCACTGGGGTTTTTCCCACCAACAGATCACACCCCATTGTATCTGCCTGTACTGGCGCTTTGCTCACAGGCCTGTATGGATTATGGAGCGTCTTCACCATGCCTGGCTTTCACAAAATCCCATGGAGCCTTAAGGTACAACATATCTTTTTCTTTTCTTGATTTTCCCTTTAAACCAGGGGTCTACAACCTTTTCCAATGGTAAAAAGTCTGTGCATGGACACCCCTTATATGTCAGTTGGGTATGGGAGTAAGCTGCTCACAATATAAATGGTTGGTGAGGATAGATACCAACCACATTATAGTGTCCAAGCCAATTGGGGGCTAATGGGTGGGTGTTGCATGTTGAAGACCTCTGCTTTAAATGATTAAACCCTGTAAGCTTGAAATGATAAGAACAAAAATTAAGCCAAGATACATACTGACTTGTTGATTAATAATAATTTGCTTACTTTGGAGCGAAGTTCTCCATGCTAGCATCATATGTGGGAAAAGAAGAAGCTGGTAAGTTTTTAACACATTATTATCTCTAATAGGGTAACTGCACCAACACTTAGGAAGCATTCATCTGAAAAACCTAATAAAAAAGGATGCAAATCGGAGATTAAAATAATATGTGGGAGGACAAATTAAAGATCAACTCAAAAAATAATCAGTTTGAGGCTGCAGAAGAGACTGGTGCTTGGTCAGCTCCCAGTATAACAGTGACTCCATCTACAGTCAGAGCAACAACATAATCATTTTGGGGACTCTTGGCCTAGTGGTTAGAGCAGGGTGCTTGTTCTCTGAGAAGGTTCAATCCCCACAGCCTGCAGTTTGGGTCCCTGAGCAAGACCCTTAACCCCACACTGCTCCCTGGGCATCACATAATGGAAGCCCACTGCTCCCCAAGGGGATGGGTTAAATGCAAAGATAAATTTCCCCATTATGGGACAATAAAGGGATTTACAATACATAATGTCTCACTACTCATCTGTTTTTATTTTCTTTGAGATGTTTTCTTGGTTCCCATCTTCCCAGCTGCACTTTATTTCTGAAAGATGCATCTACCATTACACACAGATGAACTTGAGTGATCTTTTATAGCTATAACACTTTAAGCTCTTCTTGAAAGTCCTCTTGCAAGATTAGCTTTAGCTTAGATTGTGTGTTTACCAAATTTTTGAAGGTTCCTCACACCTGTGAGGTCAGACACTAATCTTTATTTGATGATGAGAAGGTCTGGCTAATGCTTTAATCCTCCTACATTCTGGTCACGTAAACTTAATGTTGGGATTTTTTAGCACTTTGGTCAAGTTCCTTCACATTAAACTGATTAATCAATTTCCTTATTACAATAGGATGGGGTCGTCACCAAACTGTTTCCACACAGTTCTGAGTTGCATTTAGGGTTCTTTATAACTATTTTGCTGACAGCATAATGCAGTCTGCACAAAATTTTACACTAAACATACTGCAAAAAAAAAATTTGTGCCATATCCAGACTGGTCGATTTGACTGTCATTCAGAGAGGTAATATCTGTCATTTCAGAGAACATCTCCGCTTCTCTGGAGTCCAGTGGTGCAGTGCTCTAATCAACTACATCAAATTATTTGATTTCATTTAGATTAGATTAGATGAGCTTATTGATCTCACAGCGGAGAAATTCACTTGTCACATATTGGCATAGTAATTAAAGAAGGTGCAAACAAGTAGGAAAAAGGTGCATTAAGAATAAACAATATATATGCAGTATATCCAGGTATATACAGTATATCAAGATAAATAAGGGTTAAGGTGCAAGTCTACATGTATCACATACAATGAAAAACAAAATAAAAATAAGAAAAAAAAAAAATAATACAAGGTAGTAGCACAGAGGTTTGAGGTGACATATGTACAATCAGGATGGCTTATATACAGGTGGATTTACTTTTATGTTAAAGTGTAGTAGGTAAGGAACAACGGTGAGGTAGTGGTATGACTATTCTATTCACATATTTGGTGATTTAAAGCATAGCTGCAGCTACTCCACCATGTGAAGCCATACAACAAAGCCCCCAATGCAACGTTCTTGAGCTTATCTGCAGCCCACATAAAGTTTGGATGTCTGTAGCCATTAACTCTTCAGAAAATCAGCGACTTCCTCTCACTATGCTTCTCAGCCCACTGATTTTAAGTGGTCTACAACTTTGTGGCAGAGTTGCTTTTGTTTTTGACATGACAGTTTTTTTTTTGTTTTTTTTACTTGCATGGAAAAAAATCTGAGCCATGGCTGACAATAATACAAAGCCTACTGAAAGCTGAAGAAGAAATTATATAAAAGAAAAAAACAAAACAGAATTTTGTATGTTAATAGTTTGTTTTCACACTGGGATGATTTAAACAAACAGGGTGCAATTCTTTAGCTCTGTAGAAGTTATTTACTCCAAAGTGGTAGTCTCATATTCTTGCTTGTTCTTTCTTTTATTTGCCACTGTAAGAGCAAGGTGATATTTACAGTAATTACAGCTCAATAGTGTTGACTCACCGTATGCTGTGCCCACTGTGGCTCAGGTTCCTTATTTGCCCTCCAGTAAAGCTCAGACACAAAATGTTATGAAGCTGCTTGAGGGGAGAAGAGGTCGCCTAGCAGATTTGGGAGCTGGAGATGGAAGATTGGTGAGTGAAGAGAACCTTTCCTATAAAATAAGTCCTTTACCAAATGTGTATTTGTAAACATAGTGGGTGCTGTATTTGCTGCCCTACTTGATAAGGTGGGATTTTCATGCTGTGCTGTGTTTTTGCCAGGTATTTGCAGCCTCTTCTGCTGGTTTTCAGTGCACAGGGTTTGAGATCAATTCAATTTTAGTGGCGTATGCGAGGAGCAAGGCCCGCTTGAGAGGAATCCCCTTAACCCAGGCAACCTTTGTGAAAAACGACTTCTGGAAGGTAAGGTCTGAACAAGATATCTCCCTATGCTTTGAGAAGCGCACTACATTCGGAAGGAGGTGTTCTTGTCAGATTGACCAAATGGTCTGGTGTGAGCTAATTGGAGGCCATATGGAACTGAGTAAAGGACAGTACTTGAACAGGGCATGTAAGAGGCTGGTGTGGAGGTTGATTTTCAAGAGAAAAGTGGAAAACCATGTAGCTTTTTCCTCCCGCTTCACAATTTGTGTGGGGTCTGTCAAATGAAACTCTAATAAAATACATTAAATTTGTGATTGTAATCTGATCAAATACTGTGAGTTTTTACAAACTATGTTATCACCGTCCTTAGTGTTTTATTCTTCTGTCTTAGACGGATCTGTCTTCATACAACAATGTGACAGCTTTCCTTGCTCCAGGAGTGGTAAGCAGTATTCCTATTAACAACCATCTCCTTTCATATTGCCTTCTGACTTTTGTGCATCTCTTACTATTCTTGTGGACAGATGGAGCTGCTGGGAGAGAAGCTGCTGAAAGAGCTTCCTCAGGATGCGCTGGTCATTTCTTGCCGTTTTCCTTTCCCCAACTGGCCTCAGAAATCAGCTGTCGGCTTTGGACTAGAACAGACCTTTGCTTATGATATCAGTACTGTGCGCTCCCACTTGAAAATCTCACAGAAGACTGACATGAAATAAGTCTCAGTCTCTTTTCAGCCCTGAACTAAATCATCTTTGCCCAATTGTTTTTTGAAAGAGGAATGAAGAACCCTGAATAATGATGCTTTAAAGAGTGTGACATATGACCTAACATAAGGATGTCTGTAATGATGAGAGCACAAACAGCTATTCGGTATTTGCACTTTCATAATATATATCTGATAAGTATTTATAAGAACTATTAATTATGATATTAACACTACAAAAAATATTGATTTAAAAATGCAAAATTTGATAATAATGTTTAATTTATAATTGCCTTCTAAGTCACAAATACAACTGTACATTAAATTGAATGAAAAAAAATTAAGTGCAATAAAATACAGAGTATAATTACTTGAACGAGTGAGTTTTAAGTCTTGAGTTAAACCGAGTTAATAATATAGATGTCTGGTTGGTGAGGGTTCCTGATCTGGGGAGCAGCATCGTTGAATGATGTGCTGACCATGGTGCTGAAAGAACTGAAAAATACGTTGGAGCGGATGGAGGAGGACAACCTCATCGAATGGGAGGGAGATGGAAAGTGAGGTTATCAGATGGATAATGAGGGGCAACAGGGCTGCTGCTGAAGAACGGGTGGGGGTGGGGGGGTAGGTTTTAAGGAGGGCTACTTAATGTTGATTAAAAAATAAGCGTAATGAATAGATGTATAAGGTGTGCCACTGTATGTATAGCATGTAGCTCATTGGTGCATGTATGCAAAAGGACACACTAAGTCCAGCTGATGTATTCTACACCTATAAGCTACAGTAAATGATGGACATAATTGTTTTTTGACCATTTTCTTCAGCAAAAGTGCCTCTGACCAGTCAGTACATGGACTCCACAAGATCCCCAAAGGTCTCTTAAGAAGTTTTTAGCAGATCAGAAGATCAGAGTGGAAGTGAGCCCTTTGTGATTCAAACTCATTTGTTAATCCAGCCAATTTTTTATGGGATTTGGTTTGTACACACAGTAAACTGGAGTGTGTTGTCTTCTAACACATTTCTGTCAGAACCAGAATCAGATTATGTGGCCATTGTCTGATCTTATGTTGGATCACTAGTGTTCCTTCATTTGATCAGTTTTGTTAGATGGTGATTACTATAAGCACCTCTGGACAGCTTGTGAATGTTGCTGAAACTCTTGTGCATCCCTTCCTCCTTCTAACACATTGACTTTGAGAACAAAAGGGTTACTTGTTGCTAAATGTATTCCAACCAGATAAGAGACTTTTACTTCTCGTTTCCAATTTAAAACAATGACCGCTTTCAAACACCTCCACCTGAGGGCGCTACAGCTCCAAACAGCTCAGCAGCCTGGGATACTGCACAGAATGCAGAGTGCTTCTGTTCTGCACCCTGGTTTCTGTACTGCACAGGTCCCCTTTGTCTTGTTGCATTAAACAAACTTTTTATAAGAACCCATGAAAATTTTCAATTTACGCTTTTTTGTTTGTTGTTTATTGGTTTGATGAACATGTTTGTTAATAACTAATGTAGATTATGATGTTTAAAATGAAAATAAACAGGTGACAGCAACTCATTTTTATTAATTCTCATCTAATTTCTGTGTCACCATCAAAGCATTATCTCTATATGTTCAGTGATCGATAGCAGCCAGACCACTGCTCCCGTTTTCTAGTGACGTTAGAGAGGTAGGGAGGCACGGTGGGAGGGAGGAAGGAGGAGACAGGGAGGGACCGGGGCTATAAAAGCTTCCAGAGCGCCTCTCTGGGGCGCATTCTGTATGCGGAGAGAAAACAAACCATCTGATGGAAGTACATAAAAACACCGTCCTCCAGCAGACTAACAGCAGCAGCATGTGTGAATCAACGCAGAGGTCCTGCGAGCCTCGGCGCAAAAGAACAGATGAGCGCAGCGCGCCATCGGAGATGGCTCGGATCATCACCGACCCGGCCACTGGGAAGTGCTACTGCCGAGGGAAAGTTTTGGGAAAGGTAGCGCACAGCTCCCAATATCTCCTTCCACTCTTCGGAATTTACTTCTCGTCCCGAAGGCACGGCGTTTGTAACACTGTTGTTTCCCCTCTTTCATCCAGGGAGGATTTGCTAAATGTTATGAGATGACGGACCTCTCCACCGGTAAAGTTTACGCAGCAAAGATCATCCCGCACGCGCGCGTCTCCAAGCCTCACCAGCGGGAGAAGGTAAGCCCGCTGCGGCGGTGTCTGCGCGCATCTATGGGCCAATTATCACTGACATTCTGGATACAGACCTAATCCTTGTGTCGTTCCTCTGCTTGCAGATCGACCGAGAAATTGAATTGCACAAATTGCTGCACCATAAAAACATCGTGCATTTTTATCACCATTTTGAGGACAAAGAGAACATTTACATCTTGCTGGAATACTGCAGTAGAAAAGTGAGTGTTATCATTATAAGAATACACTGGCACTTATTTAATGATCTCCCTCTAACATCTAAGATGCAAAACATAAGTGCATGATTTTTTAGAGTAAAGGTGTAATGATGGATATATTTTCTGTTCTGTGTCTTTATAGTCTTTAGCTCACATTCTGAAGGCTCGCAAAGTTCTTACTGAGCCTGAAGTCCGGTATTACCTGAGACAGATTGTTTCTGGACTAAAGTACCTGCATGAACAAGAAATCCTTCACAGGGACCTTAAATTGGGTAAGAAATACTTATGCATGATTGATTTGCATATGTTTGCTGTTCTGTGGATATGTATGTGATTTCTTGAAACCAACCTACTTTAACATAGTCCTATGCTTTGTGTATCAGGTTGTCTATCAAGTGCTTATGTTGCCTTTCTGACCCTAAAGGGAACTTTTTTGTGAGCGAGTCAATGGAACTGAAGGTCGGAGACTTTGGTCTGGCTGCCAAGTTGGAGCCGGCTGGAAACAGGAGGAAGACGATCTGCGGGACTCCAAATTACCTGTCCCCTGAGGTCCTCAATAAGCAAGGTCATGGCTGTGAATCGGATATCTGGGCTCTGGGCTGTGTAATGTGAGTTAATTTCATACATGAGTCCTAATTCACTAGTAAACTACTTTTGAAAATAAAGAATATATTTTAAACATACATTGTTTGTATAATGTTACAGGTATACTATGCTCCTGGGTCGACCTCCATTTGAAACCACCAACCTGAAGGAGACTTACCGGTGTATCAGAGAGGCACGTTACTCACTCCCTTCCTCACTATCAGCACAGGCAAAGCAGCTCATTGCCAATCTACTGGCCAAGATTCCCGAGGACAGACCCAATCTTGACCACATTCTGAGGCATGAATTCTTCACCCAGGTTAGACCTCCACTCTGGTGTTTTGAATTGCTTTGGCTTTCATTCAGAAAATGTCAGTGTGTGGGGGTTTGAAGTATCTCTCCCCCACTCTAACCACCCGGCCACGCACTGACCCATTTTACTCAATTATCTGCAGGGCTTTAGTCCAGAGCGTCTATCACCTAGCTGCTGCCATTCGCCACCAGATTTCCACGTCTCTAGTCCTGCAAAGAGCTTCTTTAAGAAAGCTGCTGCAGCGCTATTTGGAGGGAAGAGGGATAAGGTCAAATACTACGAAACCTTGAGTAAGTATTATAAATAACTACTTCAACCCGACAACCTTCCAGGAATCTGTTTGTGCAGATTCAAGGATTAACATCTGGTGTTTACTTGCAGACAAGTTAACTAAGGAGGAAGAGGAGATCTACAAACTGCAGCACGACTTAGAGAGGACCGTCATCAGTCAACAACATGGCAAAAATATGTCTGAGGTAAGAAAGCAAAAAGACACAGCATTTAAGGAGTGGGTAGACTACTTCTGCAGGTGTATTAGTCACATACCAATAAAAACTTGTGTGTATTTAAGATAACCTGCTGTGGAGAATCCAATGAATCACCCTCTGTGGCTGCAGCAAAAACTTTCTAACAAGCACAGTTGCTGAACTAGCTGAAAGCACTTTATTCTCAACCTTTAAAGCTATCCACTTTGAAATCTGTGGGTGACCACTGAGTCATAGTAGGAATAGATGATCTAAACTCACACATTCTGAGCCCTGTCGTCACTCGTTCCCACCTCAGAATGGAAGTCTACTTCCGCCATCTGCCGGGAGCCCCGTCGCCTTGGCAACAGAGAATCAGTCGCCGAATACGCAAGACACCATTAGACTGATCGTCAGGGGGAGTCTGGGCAGCTGTAGCAGCAGCAGTGAATGTAAGTTACACCATGAGTGTGAAGATTATGTGTGATGGAGATCTAAAGTGACAGCTTGAGTGGAAATGTGTGTTTTACCCCTAATGCATCTAAGTGGCTCCTGATCTTTGATTTTTAAGGTCTGGAAGACAACACAACAGGGAGCGTGGCTGAGACAGTTGCCAGTGTGTTAAGAGGATGTCTCGAGAACATGCCTAAAGGTGAGTTATTAACTGAATGATTCAATTCTTAGGACTTCTAGCTTATCTTAAAATACATAAATACCTCTTACCCTTATGTGTGTAGTCTGATTCTGACTTGTGTTTAATCATTGCAGCAAATGACACCCCGCAGACGTTAAACAGCTGCAGTCTTCAATGGGTCACTAAATGGGTGGACTACTCCAACAAGTATGGGTTCGGCTACCAGTTGTCCGATCACACTGTGGGAGTTCTCTTCAACAACGGGACCCACATGAGCCTCCTGCCAGATAGAAAGTAAGCAATAGGTTGTACTATCATAACATGTAAGCTTTGATGTTAAATTTGGTGGCTCAGGTTTAGGAATAGTGTTATGGTTGGTCATCTCTTTTATTTGAGATGTCTAGTTTATGTCTGACAGCATACATTTATCCCCTGCAAAATGAGTAACTTTGTGGATTAGGTTATTTTTGACTAATTAAATCCCTATTTTTCTAAACAAACTTGCTATATTTATCCAGTGTCAGTTTTATAACCAACTTATCTGCTTTTCCTTTTAGGACTATCCATTACTATGCTGAGTTAGGCCAGCGTTCTGTTTTTCCCACTTGCGAGGTCCCTGAGCACTTTGTGGGACAAGTTACTGTGCTCAAGTATTTTTCCCACTACATGGAGGAAAACCTCATGGATGTAAGTGAAATTTCCAGTTTGTCAGGCTAAAGTGTATCTCACTCGCTGATCTTTTTTTTTATTGATCTCCACACCCTGCAACATCAAAAACTTTCAAGTTGAGGCCTGTCTAATCCTAAGATGTTTGTCTTTTTTGTTTCCTAGGGTGGGGACCTCGGTACTACAACAGATGCACACATGCCCAGACTCTACCTGCTGCAGTGGTTGAAGTCTGACCGTGCCCTCATGATGCTCTTTAATGATGGCACCTTCCAGGTAAACACACCCACTGTTGCAAAAAACACAGCCGTTGCTACGCATGCTCAGAGAGGCTGTTTGGGTGCGAGCCATGACATTTTTCCCAAACAAAGGTACAGATCAAATAATTAA